ATTGTGAGCAGTAATTCAGGAAATTCAAACTTTACCATAAGATCTAAAGTGAGAGTAAAGTAATAGGAATTGACAGAAGTTAATGTAATGAAGAGATCCTAGTATTGCTGAGAATTATTTAGGGTTGTACCTAGCATTTTCTAAACTCCTTGCTTTCATACCTGTTTTGGTTCTCATTAGGTGATTTAGAAGTCTCTTAGAAAGGAATTATCATTTTGTTGTGCAAGAGTTCAGACATACTTGGGCAACTGGATTCACCTCACCCAGTTCAGAAGGTATTCCAAAATGACAACTGTCAGAAGCTGAACTGACAGCCTGCTCTTATCTATCCTATTCATATAGTCAAGGACAGCCTCATTTGGAGATCTGCTGATGTGCCACTCAATGAGCTATTTGAAGTCTAAGAGAATTGCGAGAGAAATCCCCCAAAGAGAAGTCTAAGAGAAATCCCCCAAAGAGAATTGCTCCTCTAGTTCCTCTTGGTTTCTTGAGTTATTTCAACTTTTCTTGACCAGCAGCCACACCATACTAGGGTATAAGTCTCCTTTGCTGCGCATGTGGTGCAGTAGAAGCAGTGGTAACAGAAGCCCAGAGTCTATCTTCAAAGTGATCTGACTCCTAAGCTAAGTTCCCCACTTCTACCAATGCAGCAGTACTCCTTTTCCTTCCCCTCTCACCAGACTGTCTAGACAGCCAGCAGAAACAGCCTACAGATGCAACAGTAACAGCTCCACGGAGACACAAAATAGATGGATCCAAGAAACAGGGTACAGTGCCACATGAGGCTGACCAGGCCCTGGGTCGAGGACAAAGAATATTTAAAGAAAGCACAGTTGAATCCCCAAAGAATTCTACCTCTGGAGAATATTTTTTGGTAAAGAGGTCACTGAGGCAGATAGCTTGCAATCTTATTTTAATTAAAGCAGGCAAGAGCTGTGAGCGGCTAAATACATGACAGGAAATCCCCCACCTATCAGTCTACATATGCTGACACAAAACTAGTTGTAATTGAACTTATAGACAAGAGAAAAATGTGCTTGGGTCAAAGATGTATCGTTGGATTTTCCTGACTAGGAAGACACAGACGTTGCTGTTGAAAGAAAATGGCTTCTTGATATATTAAGGACTGATCCTTGGGTCAAGTCAATAAGCTCATTGTCACAGGACTAAACTCTGCTCTACTACACATATCTGAGACCAGAAAGTAGTCACCCTCATGCTCTTAGTGCTTTTTATCACACAAATGTTCATGGTTATGTTGGATTCATTGAAACAGAAATTTCCAAATAGGTAAGGAAGGGTGAGGGCATAACTGCTGTTCCACTCCCACACACACCATGATTCCTTCCCTTCCTGTCATTGCAGCAATGTCAGACTCAAGCTTTCAAAAATAATCATAAACCAGGACTCTCTAAAGTAATAAGAATGACTTCACAGAAGCAGAACTAAAAAAAACCTAAACACCACACTGCATAAGTAGGCAGGGAGTTATTTCTTGTTATTCACCTTTTACAGTGCATTGTTCCAAGTTCTCTTAAGAAACATTTCTCTAAGCATACTTTAAAATTAGTGGCAGATGATACCATCTATAATTAGTTAATTCCTGGAGATGTTTAAAAGAGATGTCAGGTATCTTCAGACTACTTCTTTATAACACTGTATTTGCATAGCCAATACAGAAATATTCTCCTATTTCATGCTTTTCTCAGAACACCTTAAAATTCAAGATTCAACAGGAGCCAAACAACACGGAAAAGAAAAATTGGCCAGACATCTTTTCTAATTAAGTGCACTCAAAAAAACAGTTAGAAACTGTTTCAAAATACACTTTCTACCTATATATCTTGGTAAAATATAGACTTGGAAAAATATGTACTTTCAGCGAAATACCAAAAAGACATGCACAAGATGAAAGACATTAAGTTGTCTGTATTTATATGTAAGATAAAATTAATCACTAACACTGGGAAAGGAGAAGAAGTTGTGAAAGTACACAGTCACTGGCCAGTGATACTAAAAAAACAAAACCAAAAAAAACAACCAATCAAGGATCAGTTACACTCACATTCCATACAAGATTACTTGTTCTGCGTTTAATAGACCTGACGGCCATTTGCAATTAGAAAGGTTTTATCCAGTGTCCTCTTCTCTGCAAAAACAAGACTATATTATTAGCACCCTTCTTGAAACATATCAGATGGAGTTTAAGTATGACACAAAAACCTGAATTCAGTTTGGCACTACCCTAGTATTTCTGAACCTTAAGATACACATACTGGAAGTAACATAGAGCTTTGTCTTCCTTTCAGTTGAAGTAAAAGTAACATTCTTCCTGCTATTGCCGCTAAGCTATCTCCTCATAAAATAACATTGAAACATCGATAACACTTTATTGATACTAAGAGTCTTCTAAAATTGCATTGTTAGGGGAGTTATAACAAGAAACATAGCTTAGCAACGAGAGAAAAATTTCCTTTTGTAATTTAAAAGAAATGGTGTGAGCCATTCTGCTTCTGTACTTCTTCTTGTATATGTATATTCTTGCCAGCTCATGGAGAAACTATCTGAGAATGTTGAACCCCGCAGGAGATGCAGATGGCTCTTTGATATAGTTATTGGTGAAATAAAAAGAAATACTGCCTGTGGACAGAAAAGTGCATTTTGTTCTTTACTTTCCATTTACTGAAGATGAAAGCTCACGTATAAGAAATGTAGAAATCCATGCTGCATTTCTTGCTTATATAGTCATCAATGACCTAGCATACACACAATTGTCAAAACCTAGATTAAACATTGTAAATGACTACAGCATTTTCTTCCTGGAGCTAAAGCAGTGATGTGATCTACAGCCATTTTTCCCTTATTTGGAAATTGCAGGGTTCATACTCCGGGCACAGTAAAAACACGACACAGAGCTATCAAGCAAAAGTAATCCTCTTTATTGCAAAACAGATGACTAGCTATTTGCATGGTTAAAAATACCAGAGTTTTCCCTGGATAATCCGCTAGCCAGTCTGGTCTACTTTTTTTCCCCCACAACTCTAGGTCATTCTTGGATTAAAAACAAAAGACTCCGCCCTTACTGAAATTTTCTTTAATACCTTCACATTGTGAAACAAGTAAACAAAAATCCAAAACAATCACCTACACTTTTACTACTCATTTACCTGTTCCTTTCATTAGCTTTTTTTCAGTTAAATTTTTATATAATGTTGTAAATATGCAATATGTAAAATTCTTATGTATGGTAGTTCAACTTTTCAACTACTAGATTTTCGTGCTTCCTGTAAGAATAATTAAGGTTTCAGCAAGCATAAACTTAGGAGCAAGATGTCTGCTGTGGACACTGCAAGAAACTAGGGAAAATCTCCCCATCACTTCGTGAACTGTAGAGAGCTGGCACCACCCATGAGGATGGGTAATGCTGGTTACCAAAGAGGCTGGGCCATACCAACCAGATAAGGATTCAGCACCCCACAGGAGCCACATCTCCCAGCAAGGTCCTAAGGATTGTTTCAAACTCCTGACTACTAACACAAGCAAGCTCCTGAGGACATGGAGGTAGACATCGCTTGCCGTTTTTCTTGCGCACAGAGAGAGGATTTTACAAAGGAGTCCAATTTCTGTTGTAATGAGTGAGATCTAGTGAACATAACTGTAAATAACTAAATGTTCCTGGTGTGACAGTATTAGATATTCATTATAGGAATAGAGGAATCATGGCAGGTAAAATAACTCTCTCTTTGGCAATTTCACAAGTTTTGAAGTTGTATGCCAGAGTATACAGTAGCTGCATGAAGCAGGAGGAAATTAGTGGGCTTGCTTAGAAGTCAGTATTATGATGCAAGCAATCATATAGATGGTTTGAGATAATAATTAATTATTAGGTAAATGGTAAGTGCTGACAGTAATATCTTTTCCATCACTAATATACACAAACTTTTTTTTAAATAAAAATAATAATATGAAAGAAAAGTTGAGCTAGAAAGGAGAAAATTCATCAGAATTTAAATCTTTCTGAAGTAAAGCTAAAAAGAGAAAAAAAATTAAAGGGCACACAAATTAGTTTTCTGAGCTCTTTCATGCTTACTAGCAATATCACTTTTTGTAAAGAAAATAAGTATATACATCTATTAACCCCATTTTAAGACATAACCCACACTGAGAAATTACTGGCAAGGTATCTTTTATAACATTGCACTAATATAGATCTCTGGTAACAGCCTTACACAGGCTGTCACTGCTATTCTCTGATGTAGGAGGGAGAGAAGTATGTGAGGCAGCACAGACTGGCAGAGCAGGCTATACACATTACACTTGCCAAGACGCCTGAAGTATAGAGCAAAACTGTGCCATTCAGCCAAATATGGAGCCTGTGGAAGTCTAGCAGTGATAAATAGTGACACCTAAGGGAAGGAGCGAACATTTCCGAAGGGAAACAAACATTCATGCAACAGAAGAAAAAACAGCTATCCAAGTGCTCTCAAAATTACCTTTATGATTCCCAGGAAAAAACAGTTATAAAGGGGCAGGTTGTCTATCACACTACCTTCCCAAAATAGGAAAACTGGCAGGAAAGAAACTTCAGTCATCAGAAAGGCCTCCAGTTATCGGAAAGGTCAAAGCAGTTGCTTCCATTATCACCTAGGGCAACTTCATCCACCCTTGTCCTACATGTAGAGTTTAAAAAAACCTCTGCTATCCAAGAAAATTTCCACATCGGGAATATTAGAAGTAATATGATATAATAATGACAATATTATGATTGATACCACACCAATTCCACAGCAAAACAATCTCCTCCAAAAGGGTCAAACAGATTCATCCTCTCTGTAGAAGAAATTAGTTCCCCCTCTTGAAGAACATGTTTGTAGCTTCGTATCACACAGAAACAACGAACACCGCACATCCTCTAGACAATCTAGGTGCTAGCAGGAAACAAGTGTATTTTCTGTTCTGCTGTTCCGTGGCCTACACTTCCTTAGGAGTGTGCTTCTCACTCATTTTCCGCTCCCCAGCTCTGATTACCAGCAGATCACCGTATTTGTCCCATTCAGCAACCATAATAATTAAAGATGCTGTCACCTGAAATAGAAAATTGTACTGGAAAAAGAATTACATAGGTTTACCAGAGGGTAGGAGACAAGAATCTCCCTTTCATTCTTGCATTAAAACCTCTGAACTTAATTTTAGCTCAAGCAATTCCCTGATAAGTAAGATACTTTAAGTGAGAAGACCTCAGAGAACACTGCAGAAGTCAACCCTAAGTCACAGCCTCACCATTCTGACACGTCTTCTGTATCTCACTGTGTCATGTTCTTGTTTGTCCATGTCCCGCAATATAGCATCTGTGTGTTTCTCTATCTTAATGTCACCAAATGCTAGTTTACACAGAAGGGCTTTCTTAGGTTCTAGCTAGTTATATACTGTACAAACACAAATTAGCAGCTTACAAAAATTACTCTGCAATCTTCAATATGTGAGAACATAAAAATAGTCCATTTATTCTCTCCAGTACTGGTATAATAGTAGATGCTTAGGGAAGAGTGCATAAGAACAGAGCAAACATGCAGTCATGTACTCCAGTACTCCTCCACCTTCCACTGGTCTGTGACTTAGGGAATCAACTTCATCAGCTAGAAGTCTAATCACTGTGTTTAATAAACTTAGATGGGTTTTCTTTCATGACTTTGAACCTGGACAGACATTTTGACATGCAAAACATCCTTCAGCAGCAAAGTCCACGGTTCAGATGCACACTCTATGAACATTTTCTGTTTGTTCTTTTTGTTTTGAACCTCCTGATAGTTCCTTCTGATGCTGTTCTTTCACAGACCAGAAAAGACAGTGATCACTTGGACCCTATCTGTTCTCTCAATGTCAGTCATCATTTTATAGATCATACTCTATTTCTCATCAGCAGACCATAGAGTCATTAGGTCTGTAGTCACTTCTCATGTGTAAGCCATTCTGCAAATTCAATCCTCCTTGTTTCTCTTTCTGCTATCGACTTCTGAGATCAGGAAAGTTACGGTATTTGTTTTGTTCTCTATTACCTTGAGTATCTGATTTACAAACTACCCTTCTTACTTTGGCTTTCAAGTAGCTGGACACCAAAACTGTGACGTGTGTTGTGTGCAGCAACTACGTTCAGAGATGTTTACAGATTCAGTAAAATTGTGATATTACAGAAGTCTGACTTTTCACATGGAGTAGTACAGCAGTTAAAGCCAATTTTAGAAGCATATCGAAGATGATGTCTTCTCTTCCACTTGCAGAGCAAAGACACCCAGGGAACAAGACTGATTTACAGAATACATAAATCAGTATCTGGATTAAATTAAACTAGATTGACTAAGAGTCTAAAAACTGCATGAGCATGCTATATATGATGAAATTATTCACACAAATTCAAAGAACAGTCTTATTAACCCAGGCTGTTTATATAATATTTTAATACAAAGACATTTCCTATAGGGATCTTAATGAATAACTGTATAAAGCATTATAGGAAATTGTATCTTAGTTATAAACAACCACAATATAAAGTCTGTTCTTATAAATGGTATGAGAACTAGAATAACTGTAGAACCACATGGCTACCATCTTTATTCAAATCTATTGGCTTTTTGTATAGGGCAAATATTCAGTATTCAATAATTTTTATGATTCATGGAAGACAATGAAGGTAAGTCATTACAGAGGACTCCACAAAGCAGAGTAATCACGCTTTTTGGTATCAAATTTGGTATCCAACTTACAAGTTTAGGACTTGACAAGTATCTTCCTAACTTGAATGCCAACAGTTGAAGGAGCCTAATCTGCTCTATACTCCAGAAACATCCTTCCAGCCTCCCACTCATCAACACACAATGGTGTAAGAAGACAGCAACGTGAGCCTCTTCAGAATTAAGCTATTTTTGAGGTATTGTGCCCTTTTCTGTAGAAATGCTAGGAACATAAATTGAACCTGTTTAGAAAGGTCTCCCTAAGGTAAAGTCTCTCATAGTCCCATCTCTCACTTTCCTTTATCCTTTGATAACAGCTGGAAGATGCAGAGCAGATTTGTGAATCTCCAACAGGTAACACGCAACCAAATCTTCTTTCCCGGGATATTTACTTACAGCTATCTCCTTCTGCCTGAAAATGTCCAGACACAATAAAGAATATTCCTTTAAAATAGTAAATTGGTGCTGACAATGTCCCATTTAATTGGAAGTTTTGTGAAAAGAAACAAGGGTTGTTTAGGCTTAAACATGTTTATTTGGCTAGAATCTAAAGAGATTCATTTTTTCATCTATTCCATTCATTTGTATAGAATTTATTTCACTCCTCATCATGCAAACAATTCATTATTTAGGGGAAAGAAAAGAAGAAGAAAATATACCAACCCTTTCAAGTTGCTGTTTGTCATCACAGAGTTTCCTAAACTCTAAATACAAGACCTTTTCCATTGAGCACCATCCTCTCAGAAAGCAAAAAGGAAGACAGATGTCAAAATAAATCTAGCAGAGTGGTTCACAATGTAATCCAAGTGCCTAACCAGGGCAAACATCAATGCTATGTAGAAGATTTTTGTGAGGATCATGCAACAGAGAGGAGCCTCTCTATTGCTACAAACTGCTCCATTAATGGTGCTCATTCTGTAATCCACTCCCCAAACATATCAGCTTTCTCAGAGAGGCTTTTCTCAGTTGTCAACTCATGTCCTTGGGATAGTCCCTCACCCTGCAGGTTTGCAACAGTTTAGTCCCTCCCCACAAAGTTTTACATAGACCTGTTGATTGCACTGATATGACAAATTTAAAATTGTAATATGTAATAATGATCACATCTCTCCTATCCTCACACAGTCCTGACTTGTCTTACCTCAGTACTGGCTGATACAATGCTAACATCTGATCTGCTCAGTTTGAAAACTAACTTGAACAGCATGAGCAAACGGAGATCTTCCAGTCAGTCACTACACTTTTCCTGCAGCTAAAGAGACTTATAATCCCTCCTTGCCTGACCATAACACTACTACCCATAGCAAACAGATAAGAAAAATGGAGGAGGAGAACAAGGAGAGAAAGGAGATGGATGAAGGAAGGAAAATAGGGAAGAAATTGAATATGGAATACCAGAGGCAGATTCAACAAGGTTCATTTGATAGAGGATTGGCAATAGGTGCTTGATGATAAACAGTTGCTCTGTTAGTTCAGTAGAAGTCAACCCACAATTCCTGTTAGGTTTGAGGATCACCTGGGGACAAGTTGTTCCCAGCTCCAATAGTTAGTACAGCACAGCTAGTTTATTCAAAGGAAAAACTAATTCTCCCCATAGGCAGGGAGTCTCAGTCTGAAGAGCTCCTATTAAACTCCAGGTGGAGTGTAAACAGCTCTCCTAAATTATAAAACACGTGAAAGGATTGCAGTAGATTCTTGACCTTTTGTCCTCCCCTGGGGTGAGCTCTTGCAGTAGAGTCCATCTGCTCTGTTAACACCCTGAGTTTCAGTAGCATACAATATTGAAGCCATTCAGTATTAGGCAGTGTAAAGCTCACCTAATTTAACACCTGGTACAAAAAGCAGCAAGCTATTATTACAGGTGCCAAATACACTGGAATGCATTTAAAGGAAAAAACAATACAGACCCATGATTAATAGACTAGCCATGCCACAACTAGACCGTCAATTACTAGCATCTTCCCATTTCATTTGAGTTTTAAACACAAAACAGTGACATTAGTAACCTCCATTCAAACTGACTAGAGTAACCTCTACCAGAGTGCTAGCCATTTGGAATTATTGACTCCTCTTGACTTGTCAAATAGTTGTAATTTCTGTAATTTCTCATTTAAGTTTGAAAAATTGGAACATTTTGTGAATGCTCCTTTGCAAGCAGGGATATTATCAACTGTATAGAAAAATTTCTGGAAAAGAATACAAGAAATAGGAAGCAATCAAGGACTAATCATGAATCCAAGACTAAAAGAAAATTGAGTAATGGAAGCAACAGAATACAAACATACAGAGTGTGTTACTGCAGCAAAAAGAAGGTCAGCCAGAATGCAAAATGAATTAGCGCAGTAGAATCAGTTAAGAGAAAATTGGATGGGTTATAACAAATCATGAAAAGAATGAAACTGGAGACAATGAAGGACTTTTAATAAATGAGGAGGCTGCTGAAATTAATGAGGCACATCAAATGGTTGAGATATTGCACTGCTTTATAAAAACATGTCTTCTATGAGGCAAGTTGAGAACAGAACTGGCAAGTCATCAAGTGGCAGAGGTACGTAACGCATTGTATTGTCTGTTGGTAAGGGAGGACTTTTAAACATGACCAAATGTACCTAAGAACTTCTGAACTCAGGAGAAAGGTATTTATTTTTTCAAGACATGCATGTCTTGAGAGATACTAAGCTATAGGAAAAAAGAAAGGTAGATTCAGCTCCAGTTGCTAGCGAAATAATGGAACTAAACCATTTCCTGTGCAGGAGGTGAGAGCGCTATGATCTAGGAACATTGTAGGTTATAAATTGTGCCAAATCATCATTTTAGACATATCTTTTTTTTTTTTTTTTTAAAGGGAGGGGGGGATGAAGGGGCAATAGGAAACAGAATTTTTAAAAATTATTTAAAATAATCTTCTGGGCTTTCAATTCACATGTGCATGACAGTATTATGTTAAGTTACCAGAAAACAAAAATAGAGAAACAAGGAAAAAAAAAAGACTAATGGCCACATTCATTAGGGATTTGCCTGAACTGTTTTACCTTTGAAAGTCAAACAACAGAAAGCAAATAAAGACTACTGATAAAATTTCTGTTTATTGAGCTGAGGAGGTGTATCAGAAAATGCAAGCATTATATCTACACTTAGGTACTTTCCTAATTATAAGAAGCATAAACCTGACTTATTCCTGACAAATGTGATAGATTCATTCTACTTGTCTTGCCATTAATGAGTTGGCAGGGTAGTAAAACAGCATAACAGTTAAAATTAATTTCTCCCTTTCTGGAAGGAAACAGGAGACCTGGTTACCCAGGACATGGAGAAGGCTGAGGCACTCAATGACTTTTTTGGCTCAGTCTTCACCAGTAAGGGCTCTGGCCATACTGCCCAAGTTACAGAAGGTAAAAGCAGAGACTGGGACAATGAAAAACCACCCACTGTAGGAGAAGATCAGGTTTGAGAACTTCTAAGGAACCTGAAGGTGCACAGGTCCATGGGACCTGATGAGATGCTTCCACAGGTCCTGAGGGAACTGGCAGATGAAATGGCTAAGCAACTATCCATCATATTTGAGAAGTCGTGGTAGTCCAGTGAAGTTCCCACTGATTGGAA